GGAGTTGGGGGCCCTAAGGCTGGAAGGAGATCCCCAAGGAGCCCCTCTAGCCACCCCAGAAACATTTTATGGACCTCCCACTCCCAAACCCCTAATTCAGGTCAACTTTACCACTCCTGCTGGGCCCTCAGCCTGAGTGATGGTAGAGACTGTCACCCCTGGAGGCACTGGGGACCTCTGGGGGAGGTGCTGCAAGAAGGTAGGGGGTCTGCCGAGCAGAGGTACATAACAGGGAGCAGAGGTGGCCTCGAGGCGCAAGGCCAGGGCCCTCTGGGACCGGAAGAACCGGAATCAAGAGATGCACCTATCAAACAGGGCCTCAGGGCGAGTCCAAGGGAGCCTGAAAAGCCCTGAAGCACTTCAGAAAAGCCCTGAAGGAAGCTCATTCCAGAAACATCTGTCCTGCTCAGAATGGAAAACCCACATCTACAACCTTAATTCTGGCCCATGCACTCCAGAGGGAGGCTCCCACCCAGCACACTTTGGCCTGGACTCCAGCCTGGCACAGAGGGAGGAGAGGGGCACCCTCGAGACTCTGGGAAGTTATAAAGGCTTCTGGTCTAATGGTTTCCCCCCTCTTTTATTTTGAATGCAGCCCAATGGCTCTTTCCCAAGGAGGCAGATAAAGGCAGTGGCTCCTTCTGGGTGTCTGATGACACTCCTAGCTGGGGATGATGTTAGGGACAGACACTCACAGGTAGGGGATGCATTTCCAGACCTGTAGGTAGTACTCAGGTAGGCAGGTGGGAGGCAGAGGTGGGGGGAGGGCCTCGTGGTAGGCAGGCCTGCACCCACCCATGGGGTGTCGTCAGCCTGAGTATGCAGTTGCTGGGTCCTGGGGAAACAGCAAGAAAGCCTCAAGAACCAAGGAGTGAAGTGAAAAGGGAGGTCTCATCGTCCTTGGCTCAGCCTTAAAAGTTGATATCCCTGGCACTGTCAAGGCCTTGGCACTGTCAAGGCCTGACTGGCTCTGTGCACCCCTCTAGTGCTGGGAACTTCCTCTTCATCAGTGAAGTGCAAATGTCTGGGCCCTGACCTCTCCCTGACTTCTGGGCCCATGTCCCACCACTGATTGCTCTTCCTGGAGGTCACTTCCCAAACCTCTCTGCCACCTTGGGCGGCTCCCATGGTAGCAAATGGCCTTGCTGTCCACCCAGCTGCCTGAGCCAGAACCCTGAGTGTCAGACTCCTCGGTCATCTCCTGCCCCAGACAACGAGTCCCCTCAAGGCCTTCCCTTAACTCGGTTCACTCTCATTTCATGACCACCCCTCCTGGCTGTTCATTCTCCAGGCACGTCTTGGTTGGTGCCCTTAAGCACTGTGACTATGAGTCTGGCCTTGTCCTTCCCTGCTCCTTATCCGAAGTGACCACCAGATGTGAGCCCTGAATACAGGGGTCTGCGAGGTGGGACACACATGGGCGGGCTGTCCTGAAGCTTGGCTGTATGGACGCAGAGTCCACACATGATTGCTAGTTAACTACCCTCAGATCCTCCTAGACCAGTCAGGACTCACCAGTAGGAGGGTCTGGGGACACTTGGTGAGCAGGACCAGAACAGGAGTTTGGCCTGAATGGCCTGGCCTTTTGGAGGCACACCTTTGGGGCCCTGGACTGAAGAAATGCTGGTGGGGTCCACCTGGAACTGCTACCACAAAGGCCAAAGATGTTGTTTCATGTTGTCTCATGTGGCCTGGAATGACCTGGACTCCCCTCCCAGAGAAGGACATGCCACTCATGGTGCTGTGTCATGGGATCCCATGAGCCCCAAATCTGGCTGGAGGCTGGGCTCTCTATTTCACCACATTTGTTCAGACAGATGCTATCTGGGACTAGGGCTGGGCAAGAGGCAACTGTTCCTGAAAGTTCCAGTAAGGTTGTGTGTCCTCTGCTCAGTTTGGGCTTCAGACGCCTCCCATGGGGTGGGAAGAGGAGAGGAAAGATTGAAGCACTGCCTCCTCCCTAGGAGAATCTCCCACAAAGTTCCTGGGACAGGCAACAGTTTCCTCTGTAAGGTAGCAATAAACAGACCCATTGTACAGATCAGGAAGCAGAGACTCGGTGGGGAGAGACTTTCTTGGGCTACCCAGTGGTCAATGGCAGAGAGCCCAAGACTGAGACATAGAGAAGAAGCCTGGGCGGCAGGTTCTGCTGGGTAAATTCTGCCTTTGGCCCCCAGGGCTTCCCTGGGACAGTCACAGGCCACTCTAGCTTCCCTGCCAACACCTGGGGCAGGAGTCTCCCTTTAGAGCTGTCCTGATAGGGATACTCCTCTGCTGGTCTAGCCAGGTGACCAACATTTCCTGGCTTTCTGATCTCTAAGCTAGTAGGAGACATCAGGGGTGCAGGAGTGGACATGGGTTCAAATCCCATCTCTCTCATCACTGACTGCATGGACTGGGCAGGCCACCAGTACAAGGACCCCCACTAAACAGTGGCAGGCCCAGGGAGGGCGAGATCAGCTGGGATGCCCGTGCAGAGGTCCCACGGATGCAAGGCACTTGGAGGTCCATTCCCTCCCCCTTGTGATCCTGGGGAGGCCACAACCCCATTTCTTCTACAGCTTGTGGGAGGGACCCTCACAGAAACTCCTTCCAGAGGGTGTTCTCCCGGCCCTGTGGGAAGGGGCCCAAAAAGGAGTCACAATGCCCATCATGGTCCTGCCTCCGCCCTCGCACAGTTCCACTGGGGCCCCTGAGTCAGTTGGCCTGCTAGATGCTATCGCTGCCACTTTCCATGCGGTGCAATCTAGGAATGCCTGCCCATGTCATGGCCTCAGCCCTGATGTCATCTTTCCAGAAGAAAGATGTGTGGCTGCCCACAAACCTCATCGCCAAACCCTTAGATTTCTCTCCGGGTGCTAACTCATGCCCATAGAGCACGCGGCTGGCAGGGACCTCCTTTCCTGCTCTCCCAGGGCCCTTGGTGACTGGCCAGGCTTTTGCCCAGCTGTCATGCCCCTGGCCCTTAAACCCTGCTGTCCTGACCCTCAGCCCTTCTTCCTGAATAACGCTCTGTGGCCTTATTGGTCCCGTGGACACAGACCACTCCCAGGTCTATCCCTGCACGTGCAGCCTGCGAACTGCCAATCCTTTCCATGAGCCCTTAGACCCTGCAGAACTGCCTTTGTCCCCTGGATCCCCACCTTGGACACTTGGACAGTGGTTCTAACTCTTCGTATTTATACCCAAAAGCACACTTTAGGGAGGAGGGGTGGTGAGTAGATTAATCTTCCTTCTTCATCCACAGCGTTACAAAGTCCATCAAGGCAGGACCCTGTCTGTTCTCATCATCCCTGTATCCCCCGCACCTGCTGGGAACCTAGCAGGTGCTTAGTAAATACTGAATTAATCCTATCAAGACTTGACCTCCTAAATCTCTCTGGAACCTGCTTCCTCTTCACCACACCTGCTCCTCAAACCCTCTGCCTCTGTTTCCTAAGTGCTCTCCCCCATCCTGTCCTCCCATTCCCTCCCACCACCTGACTTGCCCACCGACTCTACTGGCCCTTTCAAGGTACGCTGGGAGGTAACATCTCCCAGGAAGCTCTCTGATCCCCTTGCACCCCCAAGCTGGGAGAAGTGGTTCCTTGGGATCCCGCAGCTCTGAACTTCCCCATCCCAGCCTGGACCACACAATGGGAGTGTCCACTGTTGTCTGTCTCCCCCATCAGGCTGAGAACCTCCAGGGCCAGATGTGAGGGCCAGTGGGAAAGTCCCATCCGCCTCCCAGCACAGGGCCTGGTGCAGACTGGAGAAGTTTGTTGACTAAGTGTCAACTCATTTCCTGGAGAAAAGTGACCTTCCATCTCAGAGGGGCCACACCAGCTCTCTGCCTCCCTGGCCACTAACAGAGTCACTTCTTGTGGCCCCCACACCCCATTCCCCAGCCTCTAGGGCGCTGTCTGACACAGATCTCTGCTCAGTGTGGCATCTGGATCTAGTGTCCTTGACCTTGTGCCCCCTAAGAGCTCCCTGGAAGGGGCTGAGCAGAGGCCTCACAGAAAAGGTGGAGGAAGGACCAGGGCCTGGACATGCCATACTCTCACCCCCAGCCTGGCCCTCGAGGAACATTCCACAGGTTCAGAAGGTAGGGTGGCCTCATGGTTGGGCCCCAGATCCATGGCAGGAACCCCAGTGTGGTCTGGAGGACTAAGGCCTGGCTTTTCTGTGCAAAGGCAGCAACCCTCCTGCCATGCAGTGAAACCTGCCAGGGCTCAGGCCCAGGCCACAGTGCTCAGCCCCCTGCTCTCCAGAGCTTTGTCCTGGCTTGTGTCCAATCCCATCAGTCTAGGCTGAATCAGCCTCTGGGGCCCAGAAACATCATATTCAGTGTGGGGAGCTCCTCCCATATCAGTGGTACCTGCAGAGGCATGGGGGTTCACACAGATGACCTCATGTACAATGTACCCCCCCCCCGAACCTGTGACCACACAGGCACACAAACACCCAGAAAGGCACACACGTGGACCCACACCCTTGCAGTCATGAAACTCACAGCATGGGCATCAATAATTTTGTGTGGTGCCAGGTGATTAGACGACTTAGTGCGGAAATCACCTCATGGGGGATATAAATGTCTAGGCCAGCGGTTCTCAGCCTGTGGGGCGCGACCCCTTTGGGGATCAAACGACCCTTTCACAGGGGTCGCCTAAGACCATCGGAAAACAAAAAGATATTTACATTACGATTCATAACAGTAGCAGAATTACAGTTATAGAGTAGCAACGAAAATAATTTTATGGTTGGGGGTCACCACAACATGAGGAACTGTATTAAGGGGTCGCGGCATTAGGAAGGTTGAGAACCGCTGGTCTAATCACTATGTTGTACTCCTGGAACTAACATATTATTACATGCTAACTATATTTTAATAAAAAAAATTTTTTAAAACCAACCTCGTGCTGTCCTCTCCAAACTCCATTGTGAAAATCAAACACTTCTCAGCCCCTCAAGAGCCTGTGGCTTTTCCAGAAGCAGTTCCTGTTCCACAAAGAGGCCTTTGGAGCTGGAGGTGGGCTAGGGCAGGAGCCATGTAGGACATTAAGCCTTGAACTCCTTGGTAGAGAGGACATTGTCCCTTGTACCTGGTGTGGATGCAGCCACGACCCCGCAGCCGGCCCCTGGAGCTCCTGGTGCCTGCCAGGGACCGTAAGTAGGAGTGCAGTGCCCACCTCAGAGGGGCAGTCTGCCCTGCAGAGGGAGGTGAGGCTCATATAGCTCAGAGGGAAGAGTCACTCAGCCAGATGGTGCTGGAGCCAGGATTCATACTCAGGGTCCTGACCACTCTGCAGGCCCAACTCCCCTCTGCAGCTGGGGGGTTGAATACGGCTACCGAAACCAGGATTGGCTGTCACTCCCTCTGCTCACAGGGTCTGTAGGGAAGAGGTCCCTGGCTGAGGACAGCTTGCCAACTGCCCTGGGTCCTTGGTTGGCTGAGGTGAGCTATCGCAGGACGAAGCCATTTGGCTGAAATCTGCCTTAGTGGACAGTGGGGCAGGCCTGTGAGAATCCTCCTCATACTCAAGTCTCTCACAATGGGCAGAGGAGAGAGCTCTAGGAGGAGAGGGGAAGGCTGGGGTTGAAATGGGCCCCAGGGTGAGCACCTCCGGCCCAAAGGCTTCTTGGGATAACAGGCAGGATGGGAAACCTGGGAGTAGGAGCCCAATCGAGTGTCTCCCAGGCCCTTCCCCGGCCACTCGGGGTCAGGAAGTCTAGACAGCTGTGCCCAGAGGTCTCTCAGAGGGAGGGGGCAGCCTCAGCGGGCTGTCAGACTGCTTTGGGAGGGCTGGAGCGCATACTCAAGGAGGCAGGCCGGTGGGCTGCCAATTCTTGGAAGGGCTCACTAATGAAAACCCCCATGGTGACCACCTGGGGGAAAGCTCACCTTTCCCATGTGTAGCTGATAAGGGCCAGGAGATTCCACAGTTCAGGTAGTTCCCCCGCCTCCCAGGCATTTTGTGGTCAGCATTAATCATTTCCTCTAACTGTGTATATAAGAGCTCTTTTGCCAGTGAGCCCAGTGCTCAGAGAGAAAGGCTAAAGTCCTCAGAAGGATGTGGCTGCGGAACCTGCTTCTCCTGGGCACTGTGGTCTACAGCATCTCCGCACCCACCAGGCCCTTTCAACACATGGATGCCATCAGGGAGGCCCAGATCCTTCTGAACGAGAGCAGCAAGACTGCTGCTGTGACGGTGAGAGACGGAGGGAAGGCGGGCTGGGCCTGCGCCACCTCACTGGCCCACCTCCCTGGCCTGGATTAGCTTTGCCTGTCAGCTTGATAACACTGCATTTTCCTTTTTCTATAGAATGAAACAGTAGAAGTTGTGTCTGAAATGTTTGACCCCCAGGTAAGATGCTTTTCTCTGACACACCTTCCCACACCTTGGTGGGGAGGAGGTGGCTCCATTTTATATGGATCTTCCCAGGGTTCTCCACTTTCTCTCCAGCCAGCTGGCTGCCAGAAGGAGGTGTGCTCAGAAGGCCACCGGCCTTGCCCCTGTGGCAGTCACGTGAGCTCCATTATTACCTGAGCAGCCACAGACAGACCTAGCATTCAAAGGGCTAGGGGTGACCAGGGGACAAGTGAATAAGCAGGGGTTAGTTCATGAGACAGGGGCTGTGGGCTTGGGGCACTCACTACCCTGAGACTAAGCCCTGTGGAGACAGGGTGCTTGCCACAGAGGGACACAGAGGGGTTTTAGAAATCAGCTTTGCTTGTTCACACAGCAAGTCCGGGTGATGCCCTGCCCCTTCTCCCTGAATGGTGAGGGGATAGTGACCTCCTTTCCTAGGGGCTGGGACCCTCTTGCCATGCGAGGCCAAGGGAATGTGGCTGTGCTGGCTGAGGGTGGTCTGAGCTGAGTCGTGAGGAGTCAGATTCATGCCCGCGATGGACAGGGGGACAGGGCAGTTTGTCTGACTGGACCTGCCTGAGACTAGCTGGGAATCATCCTGTGCCTGGGAGGCCAGGCCCTACTCTTGGGGGATGGGGATGAGAACAGGAAGAAGTGATGGGAGGGCACTTGGCCACTGCTTACCAAGGAATTTTTTCCACAGAAGCCGACATGCCTGCAGCAGCACCTGGAGCTGTACACAAAGGGCCTGCGGGGCAACCTCACCAAGCTCAGCAGCACCTTGACCTTGATAGCCAGTTACTACAAGCAGCACTTCTCCTTTGCCCCGGTGAGTGCTCACGACAGGGCCCCAAGCAGGAAGGTCTTGGTCTAGGAGAGTGAGGACTGGGTAGGAAAAGACAGACCTTTGGGTGTGGCTGTTCAGGACCCCAGAGGGTGTCTGTGTCAACAGATTAGTAATGATTAGACCCTCCAGAGAGGGAGCAGCCCAGCCCACTTTCATCTCTTGGCACGGAGCTCTGAAGCCCGCAGCGCTCCCTTGTGGAGCTGCTCTGTTCTTGCTGTCATCATTAATGAGGTCAGAGGTGAGGCAAACTCAAGGAAACTCAGGGCCTGCCTAAAATACAGAGGAAGTTCCCGGGGCCCAGATGGCACCTCCCACAGGACTTTCCTTTGGCCGCTGCTGGGACTCTGGGATTGCATGGGAGCAAGGAGAGCGGCATATCCAGAATGTATAAAGGTCCCTAACACCCCTTTCCTGTGGGAAGGGAGTGAAGTCTGGGGCCTTGACTCCTACTCCTGCCCCTACAGGGCTTTCAGAGCCAGCCTCGGCCAAGATGCTCGGTCCTGGCCTGGGACCAAATGCCCAGCAAACCAGCCTCAGGCGCGCACTTTGTCAGGTCCCTGGCCCCGGCTGCCATTGGTAGAGCTGTGTACCTTTTGGGTGACACATGGGTTGCAACATGTCACCTGGCCCAGGTCAGCAGGAGGGCCTCAGACAGCCTTCTGACCTCTGAGTTCCAAGAGGCAGCACATAAACACACTGCTGCTTCCCCCACGCTACCCACTCAGGCCTGTGCTCAAGTTTTCTTTTTCTTTTACCTTTCAGGAAATTTCCTGTGAAACCGAGATTGTCACCTTGAAAGCTTTCAAAGAGAAGCTGTATAAATTTCTGGTTATCATCCCCCTTGTCTGGGAGCCAGCCCAGAAATGAGGCGACCAGTCCAGGAGCCAGTCCTCGGAGCTTACCTCGCAGACTGCTGCCCTCTGACAGACAAAGAGCCAAAACTCAGGATCTTCACCTTGGAGGGACTACAGGGTGGGCCAGGACCCTGGCGGCCATGGACTTGCTCTGAGCCATGCTGACTCTAATATCGGCGTGGTAGGGAGGGGTGAATGTTTACACTGGCAGGGACCCATAATATTTATTTATATATTTATGTATTTTAATATTTATTTATTTATTTAAGCTTATATGTCATATTTATTCCAGATATTTTACCATAATAATAAATTATTAGAAGTTTGGTCTTACTTGTGTGGTTTTGCAGTTTGTTTTCACCATGAGCAAATGGCAGAGGTGCGCGCCTCCCTGCAGGACAGGGCGGGAGGAAGCTGAGAGGTGGGGGAAGGGGCGCGCACTGTCGGCGGGGCAGCGCTGTCACAGCGCAGGGGAGCAGAGGGGACAGCGGCCTGGGGACAGCATTCTGCACACCTGCCTGTGCTTCCCAGGATGCTCCAGGGGATCCACCCCACAGAGAGGTTTCCAGGTTCACTTAGAAACCCAAGGAACCCAGCCAACGGGAAATTTGCCCCAGAGAAGGGGCGTCCTCCTTCCTGGGCGGGCCTAGGGGTTGCTCAGGTGTGGCTGGTCACTGGCTGAACAGGCACCCCTAGAGTCAGGCCAAACACCTGTGCCCCTCAGAGGCCATGCCCTGCCTCACACTCAGGCCTTCCACCACTCCTCCGAAGGTGAACCAGCACAGACTAGCTAGCTGTTCAGGGTGGGGGGGAAACAAACCACTGGGGTCAGAGCTCAGCATATTTACCAAACTTTACCCAAAATGGGTGATCTTAATCTTTGAGAGTCAGAATGTAAGTTTGTAATTTGTTGGTATGGCTCTCGTGTGCCATTTCCCTGAGCTGGTTTTTGTTTTTCCGTGAACTGTCGCATCCAATCATCCCCTAAAATGCATGGCCTTCGGGAGGAGAACAAGGCAGCCCTCCGCTCTCCCCTCGCGTTGCCCGCAGGGCTGGAGGCCTTGCTCCTGAACCTGCCCCCCTTCCCTCTCCCCGCTTCCACCCTCCCCAGTCCCTCCTGGGGACGGCGAGGAAGTGGGCGTGTCCCCAGATGTCAGGCAGCAGCGAGCCAGCCTTCTCCCTGACTGACAGGCGGGCCTGGGGAAGCCAGCTTGGTGCAGCTTTGTCCCCTGCTGACTGTGTCTCCACCCCACCTACTCTCTCTGCAGACAGCGCCAGCCCTGGCCAAAGGCCCTGCCCCACATGCAGGTAGAAAGGTAGAGAGGTCATGACTCTAGATGTGAGTAAGAATAAACTTTCTTAGACCAAGCCTGAATTTCAACAACGACAAGAATCCATGAAGTGCGCTGTGGTCATAGAAAATGCATGAAAAGCACATCTTCCCCAGCGATAAGGTCCTCTCTATCTTCCACGTAAGTCAGTGATGACTGATAAAGAGGTTTAGCATTTCCTTAGACTCACATATATAGGTATCCCTCCCCACAGATGTGCTGCCAAGCCCAGGGCTCGGATCGGCTTGGAGCCACTCCTAAGTCGTACCATGTACCTGTACATGCTCCTGGCTTGTGTGCTCTGGGGCTTGGAAAGCCATTCTGCCCCAATGAAGATAACCAGTGAGCTTCTCTACGACAATCACACGGCAGTCTGTGCTGAGATTCAGCGTGAACTTTTGGCTGACAGAAGTATATACAGCGTAAGTCTGGGTCTTCATCAAACATCACTGGGCTCTCAGTGGCCCTTTGTGTTTCTGACCAACTTTTCCTGCTTCCAGGGTTCCTTCAAAAGGCCCCAGAACACCAGTGAGGTAAGGAGCAGTCACCACTGCAGAAATGTGGACCTTTCAGACCACATTTCAAAGGGATCGCCCCAGTCGGCACCTAGGGCAGAGATAAAAACAAAAGGTGTTGGAGAGAAAAATCTGGGGAGAAAGCTGAGAGTTTAAGAATGGAGCCTCCAGCCCAGCCAACAGAAGAAACACAGCCAGGTGCTGGGCTTTGCCGGGCTCTCTGCTCACTGTCCCAGATCAGCCCTGGGCCTGGGGAGAGGCCAGACACCCACTGCACAGCTCTCAGTGCCCACAGGTCTCCCGTGGGAGAGTCAGGGTAGGGCCTGAGTCCAGGGCTCCATCTGGCCAGGGTGGTCAGGGATGGATGAGTCTGGGATCAGCTGACGTTCTGCCAGGTGCCACCACTATCCCAGTGTCCCCAACCCTGTTTCAGGAATCATGCTATGGGGAGTTTATAAAGGACTTCATCTCCACCCTGAATGAACTACGTACAAAATACAAGAACGATGAGCACCTACAAAAGGTTTATAAGGACGTGAACGATCTCCCACGAATCTGCACAAAGCTGCAAGTAAGTTGTCTGCTCTTGGGGGAACCTGAGACATCATTTTTTTGCTACCACAGCCAGGGGCCCAGCAGGGCAAAGGGCTTCTTATGGCTCCCACTTGCCACATGTGAGACCTCAGGCACTACTTTCCAATCCAAAAGAAGTCCACTCACTGACAAGGGCTGGGGCTTTGGGGAGTGGGGACTCAGAGTCATTCTGAAGGTTTCTGTCATGCCCTGTGCCAAGCCCCCGACACAGTGGTCAGTGTGCAGCAGGTCTGAGGCAGGTCAGAGCAGGTCTGGTCATGGACTCAGCCTGGGGAGAGGAAAGGGCCACTCAGTGCCAACCCTAGTTGGGCAGGCGGTCCAAGCTGGCTCTGGTTGGCCCTCCCATGAGGTCTCCTTCTGGGTGATGAGCCCCACTGGGAGCCAGAGATGTGGAGATGGGCAGTGGTTTGGGGGGGGACATGTTATGGGGAAAATGGCTGAGGTGCTCCCCTTTCTGCCCACTGCTTGCACAGTCCCGTGTGCTCCCACCCTGCTCGGCCTCGTGTTCCTGTCCTGAGCAGCCATGGGACCTGCCCATACCCTGTTTTCTCCCCAAGGCCACGGATGATCCTCAGACCCTGGGATCCATGATCACCAGGTGGCCCCCGGGGCCCTCCCTAAGACAAATGGGGAGGGCTTGCTGAGTTACCTCCTGGGGGGGTGGGGGGGCTTACCATGTGACCCTTTGGGCTGAGAGAACAGATTTTGCTTTTAATAATTTTTCTACTGAGATGACTTAAATATAATTCTTATTTAGCCAACAGAACCACCTAAGAACTGTACTACTGAGATAAGTAATTTCTCACAGTTCAAGAAAGCCTTACGGAGTGTCGTCATATCCATAGAAGGATGGAAATCATGTAAAAGGACCAAGGAAAGCCTCTGAGACCCTGTCCTCCATGGGAGCCCAGTGCATGTGCTTAGAGCTGCAGGAAATTTACATCTGGTGGGTGGGAATTCATTGGCCCTGGGTCTGCAGACAAAGCTGCAGGTGGGTAATGGAGTGGGGTGTGCCTGAAGAAATAGTTCTGTAACTGATACATCAGGACTTACCGCTTCAATAAATCTGTAAATAAAGAAATACTGGGGAGTGAGAATCGTGGTAGAGTCCAGTCTCCTGGGGGCCTTGACAGATCGGAAGGGGCAGGGGGGTGGGGTTGATGGCACCATAACCCAGGCTCCTGACCTGGAGGGCCAGAGATCTCTGAGGAGGAGAGGCAGGGGGGCAATGGGAACCTCACCTCGTCTGCCCCCTGTGCTATATACCTCCAGTGCCAGTGGACACACAGTAGAGGACCCAGTAATGTCTGTGCAGCTTGCTACTGCCCCTGCTTCTCCCTGTGTCCTTCAGAACTCCAGTCAGATCCTTTCCAAGACCCCCCTCCCCAGCCTCAGCCAGCACCCATTCACCCCTGAATCCAAGGGCCAAGCCTCAACGCTCAAGGTCCTCCCTCCTTTGGTCTTTAGACAGCTCCTGGAGAGCTCTAAGTTTAATGCACCCCATTCCCCACCCTGAGGGTTCAGTGCCACCACAGAAGGGTCAGCCCTGGTTAATGGCTCAGAGGAACTGGGGCTTTCTGGCTACTCAGAGAGGACTGAGCACAGTGCAGTGTACTTGTGGGGGCCAGGGACATATCCAAGCCCCCAGCTTCTTCTAGACCAGCAAAAAGCTATCTGGCTTCAAAGTAAGGCCCTTCACCTAGCCTGCAAAGCTCCTCACAACACACTCCAGTGTCTCCCCAACTACTAATGCCCTAACACCTCCCGAGCACAAGGCCCTGCCTGTGGTGAATCCACCAGTTGTTTGGGTCCTGAAGTGTTGCCAGACTGGGCTACCAAGCTTTGACCCCCTACCCTCAATTCTAACCCTAACCCTAATTATTTGAACAGTTTATTGGTGGTGAGTGGGATTACTCCAAATCCAAACAGCTTTCTACAATTTAAATCTCTCAGGCCATGAGCTCCTTCACCAAACCAGAAAAGATAAAAGAATATAATCAGGTATCAAGCTGAACCACAACTTGGTCCAGGCCAGACCTGCAGGCAGTCTGCACCGCCTACCCAGTGACAGACCTTGCCAAGCTGTAAAGCTTCAGACGGTGCCTGCAGCCAGCGCACAGGGCCACCTCAGCCCTGCCTAGCTTCACCCATTGCCCTAGTATTCCTAGGCCACTCTGCCTCTAGGTGCCACATCGGGCTGGAGGTCAGCAAGTGGGACTGAGCAAAGTGGCCAAATTGTCTGAGAACATGGAAGGTGGCCCTGTGACTCAGGTTTGGGTGTCAGGGCTAGTATGGAGCTAGGGGCAAGGATGGTTTCAGCCCTAAGAAAGCCCACAGTCCCCAGGGGTGGGGAGCTCCTGTCCCTTGGGCACAACACACAGGCACTCAAGATTCTAAAGTCCACTCCTCTGTGACAGGCAGTAGAGTCTGAGGGGTGCACGGCAGGAGGGGGTTGCTGAGACACTGGCAGGAAGACCCGCCCCTTCTCTGACCCAGCCTCCTCTTAACCTGAGGCACCTAACAGTAGAGGGTGGAGGCTTGCATGTACATCCTTGTCATCTCACTGCTGTGCTCAGGGCCGTAGGATGTGCACAAGCCTCATCTGCCACTAGCTTGCTATGTGACCTTGGATGGGTACCACAGTCTCTCAGCCAGAGTCTACAAGGGTAGGGTGAACTTGAGCCCCAGGGGCCAGACCACAGTCTAGATTCAGGGTTTTTGTTAAGCTAGAGGGCCTTAGGGCATCTGGCTCAACTCTAGGGAAACTGAGGTTGACAGACAGCCTCTAGTGCCCCTCCTGGGAAATAGGAAAGTTGGGAAGGTACAGGTGGGATGAGGGCGATACC